TTGTTAGTATACTAGTTTTCTAAATTAGATTCTCGTATTTCTATAATCGGCAGAAGACATAGAGTAGTCGTTTCGCCCGCTCTGGTGTAACTGCTATTAATTAATCGCAGTCGTAAGGGGACTTTGTGGAAAAAAACAATTAGCCCATATGTAGTATAACAATCAACATGACATGGGGTTTCGGTGGTTCCGAATCTTCGGAAAAACTTTCACTATGGGCTTGATACAATATTCACCGAGGTTCCACCACTGTGAGTATCTAGTACTAAGCAACAAATTTACCCGGAGTTTGGAATGCTTCATCACAACAATTGGATTCTTATTTTCCCGTGACTGTTATGGCCTTGTACTCGACCGATTGCCGCACCAATGATTGTAGAAAAACACTGCCATTGCAAATATTACACCAATACCCATGTATAACAGAATCATTTGCACGTCTTCTTTGTTAAATGATCTGAAGGGAGAAAACAACGAGAATATTTTAGTTTTTATGTCAATACCATTCTATCCCTAACGATTAAGGGTTGACATCAGTAATTCTATCGGAGATTTGGCATAGTGATACATTACATGATACTAACAATGTAAAATACTAGAGTAAACTCAAACGACAATTCGAATTTTGTTTAGATTAACTTGTCTTGTAAAGTGGTTACTATTTTCACTGCTGTGATTTGTTTGGCTGTTTGTCTGTTAGCAGGATAACTAAATAAGTTGTCGATCAATTGACATTACATATTTGGGAAAGTGCGTTGCTTTTAATATTCGGAGCAACCGAGAGCTGTATCTGGTTTCCAAGAAGACAGATTTCTTGAAAGGATTCTCCATCATTGCGTTATAGGGTCAGTGTAAAGGTTAGTATTTTGTAGTTGTGGAGGAGCTTTGCGCTGATAAGCATAATCGTAAACACAAATATAGATTTTCTTTTGTATCTGGACAACCAAATTTTCATAGTTTTACCTTAACGATTGTCTCTACATCTACACCTGGCAATTGTAATGTTGGCATATATATATATATATATATATATATATATATATATATATATATATATAAAGACACGGAGAAATATATGACATTAGGCTGAGAACGACGCATTATAATTAGTACTAATGTGTTCTATATGACAGACACGTTTTCGTTTAGTAGATAAAGCTTCTTAAACGAAATAATTAGAGTCTTATCTTCTGACGGCGAAGTCAAATCAAATGACTTGATTCGTACTGAATATTTAATTATACTTGTGTAGAATTCACACATGATAACAATAAAACATAAAGACGTCTCGGTAACGAGTTATTAATACAGGTTAATCAATCATAAATTTGCTTTCCCGATAACAGTCGTTCAACGTTAATGGAAATTAAACATTTAACGAGGAGTCGTTGTTGCGATGTGAGTTTTCAAGGTTATCTAGCAATTAATGTTCAAAACATGTGTGTGTTCTTTTTCTTAGTGACAACATGTGTATCCAGTCTTTGCTGTGCCACTCGACATGTTATCTCCGATGAATGGGGTACATAATTCGTTGTGTATGGTTAATACACAGGTGTTCATAGAGGGTCGGCAAGGGGTATTTTCGTAAGCTGTAATCAATTGTTTTTATTTTCATAATAATGTAATTTAAATAAATAGAAAAAAGTAAATTCGTAGACATGGGCAAGGTGAAAAATGTAATCAGCTATTTTATTCGTCCGTAATTTGTTATTTTTTTAAGCGGATGAATCATTTTCCCCATTAAATGTCGTAATTCGTACGCAATTCCCAATTTTATTCTTAAACACAAATTATCAAATATATTATAACAATGTTAAATGTAATTAGGAATTTGTTTTATCTGT